CCCGTTTCGACCCTTACCCCACGTACTTCCGTTACCCTACGGCTCGACGTCCCTACGCTTCTCCTCAGGGTATCCCAGCTTCGCTCTCCAGGGACCCTGCCCGCCGGTGCCGCTCCTCCTCCAGCTGCAGCGACAGCAGGGCGTGCTCCCGGGCCTGCTGGGGGTCCTGCTGCAGCACCACCTTTCTGCTTGAGGGTCACCTTCTCCCGGGCCTCCCCGCCCTCCTCCTCCAGCTGGGCCAGCCGCTGCTTCAGGCGCTGCACCTCCAGCTCGGCCTCCCTGCGCGCCTGCCGCTCGCGCTCCAGCTCCTGCAGCTGCCTCTCCAGCTCGACGCGCCGGCGCTGTAGCCGCCGCAGCTCCCCGCGGAGGCTGTCAATCTGCCGCAGCTCGGCATCGATGCTCTCGGTGAAGGCGCTTACGTCAGCCCGCAGGCCTGGCTCCTCCTCGTACCTGACGACTTCCTGTTGGACCACCTTCTCCTTCACCTGGGAAAGCTCCTCCTCCTTCTGTTTGATTTTCTCCTCTTGGGACGCCCTCTCCCTCTCCAGGTCCACTTGCTTCTTCTGTTCCTCTGACAGCCGGGCCCTCAAAGACTCCACCTCCTCTTTGGTTTGGGGGTCTTCCTGGAACTCCACGATCTCCTGGACCACCTCCTTGGTCTGCACCTGCGGTTTGGTGTCTTTCAGGGACTGGATCTCTTGCTTCAGCTGGTAGATCTCCAGGTCGCACCTCTCGATGAGCCTGGTCTTGTCGACAATCTCCTCCCTGAATCTCTGAAGCTCTTTCTCCATCTCGGGGTCAGTCTTGTACTTGATGACTTCCTTAGTCACCTCCTTGACTTCCACCTGGGGGCCCCGCCTCCGGAGCGCCTCCAGCTCGCTCTGGTAGCTCTTCAGCTGCTCCTCGGCCCTCCGGTACTTGCGTTCCTGCTCGACCAGCTCCAGGCGGAGATTGGCCACCTCGCTCTCCACCTTGGGGTCTGGCCGGACGATCTCCCGCACTTTCTCCTGCACGACCACTTTGGCGTTTTCCTCCTCCAATGCCCAGATCTTTCGGAGCAGCTCCGTCTTCTCCCTCTGGTTGGCGCGAACCTTGGCAGCCTCATCCTCGTACTGGCGTTGGAGGTTGCCCACCTCCCTCTCAGTTGCCACGTCCTTTTCCACCCTGAGCACCTCCTTGACGGTGATTTTGCCCTCGGCCATGGCCCGCTCCTTCTCCAGCCTCTTCAGCTTGTCCTGGAGGAAGCTCAGCTCCTCCTCCTGCTTCTCCCTCAGCTGGCTCTCCCGCTGCTGGGCCTCCTGCAGCTGCTGGTACTCCGCCTCCAGCTGGGGGTCGTTCTGCAGCTTCACCACCTCCTTCTCCGTGACCTTCTCCTGCGCCCGGTTCTTCTCCTGGGCCAGGGCCGCGATGCGCTGCTGCAGGAGGAGGGCCTCGGCCTCCCGGGTGCCCTTCTGCCGCCGCAGCTCCTCCAGCTCCTCCCTCAGCCTCAGGACCTCGTCGGCCTGGGCTCGGTCCGGCGCAATGCGCAGAACCTCCTTGACCACGTATTCCTGCCCGCCGTCCCTGGCCTCCTGCTCCAGGCCGCGCAGCCGCAGCTGCAGCGCCTCCAGCTCCTCCTGCAGCAGCCGGTTCTTGCGCTGCTCCTCCGCCAGGGTCCGCTGCGTCTGCTGGAAGCTCTCCTCCAGCGCGGGATCCGGCACCCTCTTGAGCACCTCCTTCCTCACCACCGCTTCCTGGGGGCTCTGGTTCTGCAGAGCCCGGATCTCCTCCCGGGCGCTCTCGACCTCGTTCTCCAGCTGCTGTCTCCGCTCGGTCTCCTCGTCCAGCTCCTTCCGAATCTTCCACGTCTCCTCCGCTCCCAAGCCCGGCTTGCTCCCGGGCAGGGCCTCGTGGCTCACACCTGCCTCCGGCTGCTGGGAAGGGGAAGACAGTGTGTGGTTAGCTGGACTCGTGCGGCCTGCTCCCACCTGGCCACCTGCAGACAGGTCAGAATGGTTGTCCTGAGACCCTCAAGGGGCTCCCTCAGTGCCAGGTTCACTGGAGTCTGAGGCTCCAGTGAACAACTCGTTTAACTGCATTTGGGGAAATATTTTAAAACCACAGAAGAGTGTGAAACAAAGGCTGTCTGTCACCCCTGGTCCTGTTCCTACAGGACACCTGTCATCTGTGAGACACATAGTTTTACAGGCAATACATTTATTTTTTCTGCACTAACAGTGGTCCCCGCTCTGCACCCTGGTCCTTGCACTTAGGAGAATCCGCGGCGGTGCAGAGGGTGCCACCCTGTCGTGTGGCGGCTCCATCCTTTTCCATCGTGTGGACGGACCCTGGCCTAGGTAGGCACCCACTGCTGATGAACATGGAGTTGCTTCCAGTTTCTTACTATTAGGGTGCTGTCATAAATGTTACAGACTTTTAAAAATAAGTTACCTTTTACTAGGTACTCGGCAAATTCTTGTAGGACGGGACACGTGGGTGAGACTCATGTCAGTAGGAGCGTGGGCACCCAGGGCTGCCCAGCCCTGTTAGCAGGGCACACGCCCCCTGCTTCACAGGCTGTTTGAGGCAGAATGAGTTACTTCCCACCTGTTGGAATACGTTTGAGTAGTATTCCTTTCTAAGATCCATTACCTGTCTCAGGAGATTCTGTGCAAACTCCAGGTTCTGCAGCCTCTGTCTGCTGATGGCATTAACTTCAGTGAACTTGGCGGCAAGAGCCGCTTCCTGCAGGAGAGCAGCCAGGAGTCAGCAGGCTGTGCGGGAAGTCAGCTGGATGGTGTTTGGAAAGTCTGGCATTTGAGGACAGAGGGTATGGTTCTTGCCCCTTCCTACCTGGAGTTCTACTGCGGTCTCACCCACTAGATTGAAAACTGGATTTAGAATCCCCAGTGACCTTGAGCAGGTCTCTCTCTGTCTGAGCCTTAATGTGCTCATGTACAGAAGGAACTGGTAACGTCGGCCCTCCGTACGTCCCTGCATGCTTCACAGGGGAAAGGGGAGCCTCCCGTCTGGGGCTCTGGCACACATAACCCCAGCATGCTGTCTTTCGAGGCACATCCGTGTCGCTGCCCCAGAATAAGTTCATTATCCTCTCTTATCGGACCTCTTCGCACCCAGTAGGGTTCTTGGCCCCGTTTCCCTATTATGTATTGCCTTTGAGGCCTGCATTCTGAGCTCTGGAGCGGGGTGCTCCAAGAAGGCCCGGCGCATGGAGCTCACCTCTTCCCTCACTTTGGTGGCAGGGGACTGGAGCCTGGCCCTCTTGCTCACATGGCTGCTCCTTCCATTCTCCAAGTCGAGAAGGGACCTTAGTTTCTCCACTTCTAACTCGTAGTCCTGGGTGAGAGAGACATGGCAGAGGGCACACAAGAGCTGTTGAGACCAAAATGTTTTTACACCCTTTCCAGCTGACTGCAAAGGTCTCCCACTCAGCAGCACCCTGTTCTGACTGCCAGGAAGTTTTGAGAACCATCGCTACATCAACACGACAGAGCTACATCCCCAAACAACATGTGAGACAAGAAAAAGTAGGTGCACAGTCTCCCTCCATCCCCAAGAAGTGCTCCCTCCAGGCCGTCCCTGGCCTAGAGAATGTGACATTCTGCTTTCTTCTATTAATTCTGTACGGTAAGCCTTTTCTCAAGTTGCCCCCTCTTAGCCCTCCTGTGCATCAGTTTGGGGACTTTACCATCCATCAAGTGCTTGGATGATAATTTAGCTAGCTGTTCCTCTACTGTCGGAATTTAAGTTCGTTCTAGTTTGTCTGTTTTGCTAGTGTAAATAATGCTGTTTTACTATGCCTTTGTTTATCCCACATTCTTTTGTCTTTTGTCTTTTTTCCTTTAGGATAAATGCCCCCAGTTACTGCTTCATTCAAACAGTAGAAAGCCCTTTCATGGTACTCGATGCCTAGTGCCTTCACTTTCCCAGTTTGGGGGCCGCCAGCCACGCCTGAGGGGGCTGGGCTGGGGGAGGAGGCCCTGCCGTGCAGCTCTCACCTTGACGGCCTGCTGGTACTGCTGCGAGTGGGCATGGACTTGCTGGACTTCCTGTTCCCTTCTTGCTATTTCATCTAGCAGGTTCTGTAAGACAACACAGACGTTAAAAATAAAAAACTTAACCCCCCCCAAAAAAAACCTTGATAGAGTAGCTGGATTCCTTGAAGTCTGAAATTACTCTTCTGTAGCACAAGGTACACATGGCTTCCTTGCTGACACTTTTGTAGCATTTGTCTGTTACGAAAGGCAATTCTAAGGCCCTGAGAAGAAGGGCCAAGAAGGATAATTATCTCTGCCAGGAAACTAATGTTTATTGAGTGCTTTGAAATGTCACACACCATTCCAGTATCTTAGATTATCCCACTTAATCCTGTGAGGTAAGCACCACCTTAGCTCCAGTTTATAAATGAAGAAAGCGAGGCTCAGTGACTGGCCCCTGGGCACACAGGTGGTAGGGGTGGCAGCGGGATCTGAGCCTAGGCTATTGGGTTTCCTGTTCCTCGTCTTTCCCCCTAGGGCCCTGCTGCCTTGTGGGGAGCCAAGACGTGGGGCTTTGGAAATAGGGTTTTTCCCCATGAGGGCTCCTCTTGTGTTTCTGTAGCTTTTGCTGATTTAGCAAGTGTGGAATGTCCACTCTGTGCTGGACACGGAGGCGGGAGAGGTGAGGGAGACACCGTCCTTGCTCTCAGAGACTCAGGTGCTGGGAGCCTGCCAGCGAGGACGCAGCCCTGCCGGACCGCTGCCCAGCCCCAGCCGCCACCCACAAACGTGGAAGCAGCCGTCTTACCTTCTGGTTGTTGAGCTTGGTCTCCATCTGGCCAAGGCTGTCTGTCTCCTGGGGCTCATAGCTGGGGATGCGGGACAGGAACTGGAGCAGGCGGTCGCGGCTGCTGCGGAAGTCACCGTGGGCAGCCTGGGCGCTCTGCAGGCTCCGGGCCCTGCGGGGACAAAGCCGATCAGGCCTCGGCACGGGGGGCGGATGCTTGCTGAAAGCTGCTCGCCATCCTTTTTTGAAGAAATCACCTGTGCTCATTTTTTTAACAGCGGGGAGGGATGGGTCAGGGAACCAAAAGTAATTTAACTAGAAATAGCCTAACCAGTCACTGGAAACGGAGTAATTAGGTAAATGATGGACTGTGGAGTTGGAACACTGCATGGCCGCTGTAAGGGCAGGGAGGGCCACGTGTTCTGACTCGCGGGGCTGCCCACTGTGTGTTCTAGAACCTAAATAACCCACAGGGCCAAGGAGACATCACAAGGGAGGCGAGGAAATCTGAACTCACCGAAAATAAAACAATCACATTTGTATCTTAGTGAAGCAGTGCTTAGTGGGAAATAACCTAAGTGCTTAGGTTAGCAAAAAGGAAGCTCTCAAACCAACAATGTAGGATTCTACCTTTAGGAAGAAGAAGACGAGCAAAGAGAAACTAAAACTAAGCAAGAGTAGGGAATGACACTGAGCAGATGTCACCAGAACTGCAAACAGGGAGACAGGAGGGAGGTCACCGACACCAGAGCTGGTTCTTTGAAACAGTCAATAAATAAACCTCAGACAGAATGATCAGGGGAGAAAAGAATAAACAAATACAACAAAAGAAGACATAACATCAGGAATGAGGGAGAGGACCTCCCCTCAGCATCTGCGGACGTTAAAGCATAAGAGAACTTTACGAACAATTTTATGCCAATAAAGCTCAACTACTTGATGAGGACGATGTGCCCTTGAAAGACACAGATTTCTGAAGTTGACTCAAGAATGAGATGACTCAAATAGTCCAGTATCTCTTACAGAGGTTGAATTGGTAGTTACAAACCTCCTCACAAAAAACAAACAAACAAACAAACTGCAGGCCCAGAAGGTGAATTCTATGACGATTTAAGGAAGCAATATCAAGTCTACGGAAACCCTCCCAGGAAACAGAAGGGCAGGAGGGAACAGTTAGTGTCTCATGAGGCCGGCAAAATAACGCCAGGGAAAATATAGCAAAACGTGGCATGTTGTCATTCGCTTGTACAGAACCTTTTTGGAGAGAGACACAGGGACTGGGAACAGTGCCTGTCTTGGTGGGGGGGCTGGTCACTATCACCTGAGTTTCATTCTTTGTACATGTATTGCTTTTTTCAAAAAGGGGAAATTATTTAGAAAACACAGCCTTTGGTAGTGTTCGCACAGGTCCCACTCTGGTGCTTTAAGGCAGACGAGCTGAGCCAAGGCCACCGCCCCCCACAGCACCCTCACCTGAGCTCAACCTGCCGGCAGAGGTTGTCAAAGCGCTGGCCCAGCTTGTGCACTTCGGCCTCCTGGCGCTCCAGGTCCGGGCAGTGCTCCTGGAAGCGGCTGGCCAGCGAGCTGGAGCACTGCTTGGCCGCCTGCAGGTTCCGCTCCACCTCCCCGAGGAGGGCCTTCTGGGTCTGCAGCTCGGAGGCCATGGCCTGCCGGGGCGGAGAGGCAGACGGCGGGTGCTGTGGCCAGAGCTCCAGGGACCAGGACGCGTGACCACCCCCTCCCCCGGATGCGTGGCCCCTCAGGGCGCTTGGGGCTGCCAGCTCTGAGAGGGTGGGAAGACTGGGCAGGCACAGGGGCTTTGCCCCTGAGTTTCTCCTCGAACCTACGGTCATCTCTGCAATTTCCATTTCATTGTGATAAACAATACCCCAGAAAAACTAACTTTCTTTTCTTTTAATTGAAGTACCATCAGTGACAATGTGTCCATTTCTGCTGTACAGCAGTGTCCCAGTCATGCAGGTACATACATATATTCGTTTTCATATTTTTTTCTTTGAAGGTTATTACAAGATATTGAATATAGTTCCCTGTGCTATACAGCAGAAACTCTTTTTAAAAATCTATTTTTATATATAGTGGCTAACATTTGTAAATCTCAAACTCCCAAATTTATCCCTTCCCACCCCATTTCCCTGGTGACCATACAATTGTTTACTACATCTGTAAGTCTGTTTCTGTTTTGTTCATCATTCTAAGTGAAGGAAGCCAGAAAGAGAAAGAAAAATATCCTATCATATCACTCATATGTGGAATCTAACGTCTAAAACCCTGCGGCGGGCAGCATGTGCCTGTGACGCCCAGCCCGGGCCCAGAGTGGCCTCGGCGAAGGCTCTGTCCTTGGAGCCCACTTCCTGGGCTCTGAGGTGAGGCTCTCAGCACGTGGCAGGGTTTTGTGAGATGGGGTGTGAATAAGGGGCCTCCTGCAGGCTCACAGACTCCGGTGCCTGGAGCGGGCCCAGTGGCAGCTGTGAAGACAGCACCTGCTGGGCTGGGGCAGAGGCTCCTCCACCCGGCTGACCTGCCCCGTGGGCGTGCGGGCCCCGGTGGCCGGATCTGCTCACCCAGAGATACTGGGAGTCTGGAGGGATTCTGTGGATATTTGACTTGAAGAAACTAGCACCTGATTTCCACAGGCCACCCAAACCCCGGCACAGCTGGGACTCCAGACCTGGAGGGACTTGCTGCCCTGGGCCTTGGGCCTCTCGACTGTCCAGAGGTAGGGGTTAGGGGTGTCCGGGGCCCATGCCCAGCTCAGAGAAAGCTCCCAAGGCCCAGGATCCCCAGACCTACCGCCAACTCCTGCCTCTTGCTGTCCAGGGCACGGCCACTCTCGGGCACCGTGTCCTCCTGGGCCAGCTGGTTCTCGTACATGGCCAGCACCTCCCGGCCCTGCTGCAGGCTCTTCTCCAGACGGTTGGCAATGTCGACCCTGAGAACACAGGTCAGCAGTTGGGGGGGAACCTGGCCCTGGACCCACCTGGCCTCCCTGCTGCCCGCCTGCACCCACTTTTCCTGGGCCACGTCCAGCAGCTGCACCAGGTGCTCGTATCTGCGGTGTGTGTCCTCCACCCGCGTCCTCAGCAGGGCCGCGCTGCCACCGTCCGCGAGGGCCCGCACAAACGCCTCGCCCTCGGCTGTGCTGCGTGCCTTCTCGGGCTCGATCCGCAGCAGCTCGTTGGTGATGTTCTGTGGGGACCAGAGCCCCTCGCGTTGGCCACAGCCGTCAGCCTGCCTCCCCCCAGGGACCTCCTCCCCAGGGAGCCTAACTAGGGCTCAGGGGAGCCAGCCAGGAGCCTGCATTTGTAATGAGCATCCCAGGGAATTCTGATGTAGGGGGTGGTGACTCATGAGCCATGAAAACTAACAGGGAATCATCAAGCATTTACTGTTCCCACTACTTTACACGGATGATTTTTTCATCTCTGGGGGTGACCTTATGAAGTAGGTAGGACTCCAAGCAGCTTAGGAGGGGACTTGGGGCCCAGTCACGCCCCCACCCCTGTACCAGGTGTCCTCTGGGCCCTGACTTGGCCCCTAATGGCCCTGATGTGGCCCCATCAAGGCCATGGCACTTCCTCCAAGCCCCGTTCCTCTTCTGTAAACCAGGAACGGTCGCGCTCACCACAGAGGGTACGGAGGACTCAGGAAACTTGAAACAGGTGAGCAGTAGATGGCGTCATGTGCCTCAACTCACCCCATCCTGACGCCCCGCGAGTGGGGACCAGCCTATTTCACTGAAGAAACTGAGGACTGGGCTTAAACAGTGTGTCTGCGGTCAAGTGGCTAGTGAGACAGCTCTGCAGCTCCAGAGCCTGTGAGCCGCCCTGCACTGTGGCCTCTTGGATTGGTGCTGAGGTCCTCGGGCGCACGCACTGCTGTTGTCAGCACTGCCACGAGCCCACGGCGACAAGCTGTGCAGAGGCGGCCTCAGCTCCACCAGCCCTTTCCCCTGGGGACGTGTCTGTGGGGGGTGCCAGGCCTCAGGCACCTCCTTAATCCTTGGCCTAAAACAGCCCCCTTGCCCCATGACTTGGCCTACCTGTTACATGCGGTAGGTGGTCCCTGTCAAGCAGGGGCCCCCGAGAGCCAGTGGGCCAGCCCGTGCCCCAAGCCTGGCAGTACCTTGAGGTGCTTGGCCCGCTCGGCACTGTCCTGCACGGCCCGGCCCTGCTCCAGCGGTGGCCGCAGGAGCCCCGTGATGGCCTTCTCCTGCCGGTCCAGGTCACTGGCCACCTTGTCCAAAGCAGCCAGCAGCTGCCGCCCCTGGAGGTCGGAGGCATCTGCCAGAGGGAAATCACAGTCAGGAGGCAGTGGTGGAGCGTGAGGCCAGGGAAGGGGCCACTGAGGCCAGCTCGGCCTCCCCCACCCCTGCCATCCCATCTGCAGCACAGACCCTAGGCCTGGCCCCTCCCCAGAGCCTTGGGCAGCGGCCCGGGCACCCACCTCCAAGGCTCTCTGCCTTCAGCACCTCTTGCCGCTGCTGGAGTGCGCTTCTGCTCCCGGCCGCCTTCTGCCGCAGGCTCTGGTACTGGCTGCCCAGGCTGTGACAGCAAAAACGGGCTGGGGACCCAGGGCAGCCCATGCCCCCACCACCCACGGCCGCCGGGCCCAGGGTGGCTGGACAGACAGCCCCAGGGAGTCAGGTGGCTCATCAAAATGCGTCAGAAAGTGAAAATGACACATGGGAAGGGTTTACTCAAACCCTGGTCTGTCCTCGCTCCTGGGTTCAGTGGACCCTCCCTTCCCTCCTTCCTTTCTGTGTGTGTCTCTCTCTCCTCTTCATAGCAAATCTTACTATCTAAAATTATTTTGTTTACTCTGTTTTCTCCACCAAGATGTTACCTCTGAGGGAGTACAGAGAAGATGCTCAACACATATTTGCTGAATAAATAAACGAAGGAATTCCTTGAATCACTCATTCAGAAAGAGTTTTTGGATACTTGCTTTGCACCAGCTACTGAACAAGGCCCTGGAAATAGTAAATCCTAAGGAGCCTCTGCCCAGTGAGACTGACACAGACACAAAACACCCTAATGAGAGCAGCACAAGAGATGGGAGAAGGTGCTTGAGAGCCAAGAGGCAGCAGCCCTTTCCCTGGAGCCAGCGTGGGGGATGAGGGTGCAGTCAGGGAAGGCTTCACAGGAGAGGTGACACCTGGGCTGGGTCTTCAAGCCAAGAGGCCTGAGCCTGTAAGGCAGTGGGTAGGTGTCCGGGTAGAGGGAGCAGCATGTGCAAAGGCCCAGAGGCACTGGCAGAGGAACTACTCTCTGAACTGTGCTTACACACCACACATCAGCCTGGCCAATGGGATCTGCAGCTGTGGGGGTGTTAGTGGCACCCTGAGGCTGAGATGGGGGGTCTAGGTAGTGGGGCCAGCCCACGCTGTACCTGTCGGCCAGAGCCAGGGCCTCGGGGTCAGTGGGGGGGATCATGAAGCAGACGGCTGGGGCAGTCAGCTCGTTCCCTGCGCTGTCCGTGAGGTCCCAGCTCTCCCCGTTGTTCCTCTGCAGGGTGTAGCTGTAGCCCCGAGAGATCAGGCCCTGGCACGGGGACAGGCCAGTCAGAACGCACAGAGAAACCTGCCCCGGTCGGTGGCCAGGGGCCCAGTACAGCCTCATCCCTGCCTGTCACTCTGAGACCTGGGGAGTCTTAGCCTGTCTCCTAGACCCTCCCCAAGATGGGCCAACACCAACGGAACATGTGTTGGGGCTGCCGGCCCAGCACCCGCCTGGATTTCCCTTTGGGTGCACCCCCACACCCTGCAGTCCCGTGTGCTCTTATCCCTTCCTTCCCTGACTTCTTGGGATGGACATGTGACTCAGAGTGGGCCAATGAGAACCTCCACTGGGAGTTCTGCTGGAATGACTGGGGCTGCTAAACTGGCAGAACAGGCCAGGGTTGCAGTTGGGGTGGTATGGGGGGTTGGCAGAGAGTGACCCCAATGACAGAGATGAACACAGGTTCCTGAAAACATTCAAGGCCCTGCATATAGCCATGCCACCCCTAAAGCCTTTCAGTGACATGAGAAGAGGCAGACATGGGCTCAGCCTGCCTGGGGCACCTGGGGCACCTGGGGCACCTGGGCAGTGGCTCACCTGGTCACCCTCAAAGTCACAGAGGGCCTCCACGGGGATGGGTTGCAGTGGCGTCTCCCGGCGGTACTTGAGGGGCACCACCTGCTGCCCTCGCTTCTGCAGGCCCCGTACCACGTGCTCGTACTTGTCCAGAGCCTTCTCCTGGTCCTGAATGCAGAGAGGAGAGCCTAGGTGAGACCTTCCTGGGGCAGGAGGCAGTGCCCGGTCGGCAGGTAGGGAGCTGGGCAGGGCCCTGTCTGGGCACCACTCACATCCAGCTCCCGCAGCAGCAACTCAATCTGGTATCGGTCTTTGAAGTCAGGGCTGTACTTCTGGTTCAGGTCCGAGTCCACCTTGCACAGCAGCTCCTGGGCGTCCTTCACGTCTTTGTGGAACTAGGGGAGACCAGGTGGCCTTATTACAGACAGGAAACCACTAGGATGCCTGGCTATGGCTTTAAGCCAGCTCCCCAGTGGGGCTGAGACACCCAAACAGGAGTTAGTTCCATTAGTGTCATCTGAGTTCAGGTGCCCCCACACCACATACTCATAAGACTAATGTGCGGACCTCTTGTTAAAAACACACATTCTGGTGGAAACAATGCGGTATCCATCAACAGGGGAAGGCATAAACAGTATGGTCCATGTGCATGATGGAATATTATTCAGCCAAGAAAAGGAATGAAGTTTTTGTTCATGCTACAAAACGATGAACCTCAAAAACATCATGTTCAGTGAAAGAGCCAGACACAAAAGGCCATGTACCATGTGACTGCACATCTATGAAATATCTAGAAGAGGCAAATCCAAAGAAATAGAAAGTAGAGGGGAGGGTAGAGCTCCTGGGTTCAAATCCCCAGTATGTTAGAGGTTACCAGGGGTTGGAATGAGGAGCCATTGTTTAGTGGATACAGTGTTTCTATTTGGGGTGATGAAAAAGTTTTGGAAAGACAGTGGTGATGGTTGCACAACACTGTGAATGTAATGAATACCATTGGATTGAACACTTAAAAATGGATAAAATGGTAAATTATATATATTTTTTACCAAAATTAAAACCCCACACACCTATTCCTGGGCCTGTGCTATCCTGGTGAGTCAGACTCTCTAGCTCCAGCCCCTAGGGAAGGCAGACAAGGGCTCAGCAAGCTTGGGGTGCCCGTGTACACTACTCGAAACATAGACACTGCAAGGCCTGGGGATGCAGCCCTGCAAGGCTCCTGGAGGAAGTGGCACCGAGGCCACAAATGAGCCAGATAGACACTGAGTGCTACCACAAGTGGCGCTCTGGACTAACAGTTACCTGGTGGTAGTCTTCCATATACTTCAGGTGGCTCTCCTCACAGATAAGCAGGTTCAGATACTCCTTCCAGTCTGCGTGCACTGCCTCCATGTGAGCCTGACAGGACAAAGGGGGCAGATTGCTGCTGGCCAGGTACCTGGGACACCAGGGGAGAGATGACAGGATTCCAGACCAAAAAAGGGTAGAGGAGAGGGGCAGCTGGCTTCTGCCTGGGTGTGGCTACCACAGAGGCAGTCAGCTCCTGCTCACAAGTGGGAGGAGGAGAGAGGAGAACGTGCTGAGGAGCCAAGAAGTGCTGCTGTGTACGGGTGCTCAGGTTGTGCACTGCACAAGGGATAAGTAGGGGCTGTGTCTGCCCAAAGTGGTGTTTTAAAAAAATTCTCACAAAGGCACTCCCCAAATTCATGGCCACCAGAACGCAGACTTTATTTGGACATAGGGTCTTTGCCGATGTAATTGGTTAAGGATCTCTAGATGAAATCATCCTGGATTTAGGGTGGACCCTAAATCCAACGTTTGGTATTCTTCAAAGAAGAAGAGATGACACCCAGGTAAGAAGATCACGTGAAAACACAGGCAGATATAGGAATGATGCAGCTCCAAACCAGGGAATGCCAAGGCTTGCCAGCAAGAAGCAAAGAGAAGGACAAGGAAGGATTCTCCCCTGGAGCCTTCGGAGGAAGCAAGCCTGCCAACACCTTGGTTTACAACTTCTGGCCTCCAGAATCAAGAGAGAATAACTTCTTGTTGTTTAAAGCCACCATGTTTGTGGTCACTTGTTACAGCAACAATAGCAAACTAATACGGGCACCACATGGGCTTCAGAAGTCTGGGGGCCGAGGGCAGGACATGGCAAAAGATCAAGGTAATGAGAGGAGGCACAGCAAGAGGAGATGGCAAGATGGAAAGACGGACAAACAGACACAGAATGAAGGACCCCCACCTTGGTGGGGGGCTGCCCAGGTGCAAGCGGCCCACAGCAGAGGCTACCCTGAGGCCAGCCTGGAGGAGGCAGCCCCTCCCAGGCTCACGCACCTCAATGGAGTTCCTCCCGGGATGCTCGGCTGCGAGCAGCTGGTCACCCTCGCTGTGCAGCTTGTTGATTCTCTCCTCTTTGGCCTCCAGGTTCCGGTTGATGAAATTCTGCAGGGTTGGGGTGGTGGAGAGGCTCAGAGTCCAGCCTGGCAGCCCCAGGATTCCCACCGGACCCCGGCCTGGGCCCGCAGAGCCCAGCGCCTACCTCGTACTGCCGCCGGCGACTGGGGTAGTCGAGGTTGTGGTCACTCCAGTCGTACTGCATGCGGCCCCGGGCCTGCTGGTCCAGCCAGTACAGCTCGTTGGTGCAGCGCTGCATGTAGTCCTGCAGCGAGCTCAGGTGCTCCTGCCGCGCCTGGGACGCCGCCTGCGGGCGGGGTGAGGACAGGGCTGCAGCCTCCTGCTCAACTGGACTCCCCTGGATGAGTCGGCTGACCGCCCTGAACCCCTCCATTCACTCAGCAAACATTTATTGAGCACCTACTAAGTGCTGGGCGTGGCTCCAGGCACTGCAAATACAGCAGTGAGCGGCACAGACAAAACCCTCACAGAACTGAAACATTTTTTGTGGAGCCTCAGTTTACCCATCTGCAAAAGGGGCTAACGACAGCACTAATCTCACAGGGCACAAGCCTGGTGTTCCATAAACGCCAGCAGCTATGCCTCCACTTCTGTCTTTAACATGTCATTGCACAGCCGGCTGGGAGGACGGTAGCAAACTACTGCTTTACATCTGAGAAGAAGCCAGGCAGGGAGAGGTGGGAGGAGAGCTGTCTGTGTTTCACTCTGCAAATGAGAACAGCAGCTAACACATACATGGGCGCCCACGTGCCAGGACTGTGCTGGGACTTCTCCAGTACTAACTCCTGCAGTCTTCAAAGCACTCCTATGAGCCAGGGAATCGAACTAACTCCATTTTGTAGATGAGGAGCTTGCGTGCAAGGTCTCCCCACCAAAGAAGTGGAGGCAGCCTGGCTGCAGAGCCTCCTCACAATCCTACCGTTGGCACCCCTGACTCTCACGGCTGAGGTATCTGCAAGGCCCACAAGGAGGCATCTGTGCATCCCTTGTGCAGTTTTAAAAAGAAGATCTTCTTGGAAGGTTTTGAAAAGGGAAACAGAAAACTTTTGCCTGTTAAGCACATGCATCATACTCAACACACAGTAGGTGCTCAATAAAGATTAGGAAGCAAACTATAGGATGAGCTGTGTCCTTTGGGTCTTTTGGGGTTTTCCATGAGCACAGGGCAATCGGGGACCCCTCTCAGGCAGGGGCTTGGGGTACCACCTCTTCCCACTTCACCTCCCTCCGTCCTGTTTGTTTGCTTATTTTTGTTTTCTGGGGGGAGCTAATTAGATTTATTTAGTTAGTTATTTTAATGGAAGTGCTGGGGATTGAACCCAGGGCTTCCTGCATACCTAGCGGGTACTCTACCACTGAGCTGGACCCTCCCTCCTCCCTCCGTGCTGTTTGAAATGTTTACAGCACATGCTTCCTGTCCCCACTGCCGGACTCCCCATCCCCCCATCCCATTCCCAGGGGCGTCTCACCAGCAGCTTCTGGTACTTGGCCTGGAGTTCGCTGTTCTGCTCCTGAGGGTGGAGCGGGGGACATGGGTTAGGGCGGGGGCTGCAGGTGGAAGGCCCTCCTCCCAGGGATCCCCTCCACCTGCCACGCACACACCTTGCCTCCATCCTTGGCCAGGTGGGGCCCGATGGCCTTGACCTCATTGTGGAAGATGTTGTGCTGCTCCACCTGGTGGTCCACCAGCGGCAGGTCCGTCCCAAAGCCCTGGCTGCTCAGCTTGTCCTGGCGGGGCGCGTGGAGAGACAACACACGCACAGGGTGGGCTGGGGGCTCAGGACTCACAGCCCACTGGTACCCCGTCCCCCGTGAGCCTTGGCTCCCCACCTCACAGCACCGGCCGAGGAGTGAGCGGAGTGGCCCTGGAGGGACTCGAGGACAGGCTGTCACCTCTCCTGCCACATCTCATCTTGTTTAATCCCACAGCCACCTCAGAGGCTCTCACAGTTGCCGTTTCCATTTCACAGTTGGGGAAGCAGAAACCAGCCAGGGGAGTCACTTGCTTAGGGTCACACTAGTAGCCAGGCTTCTCCATGGTGGAGACAGGCTAGTGAAGGCACAGGAAGGGCAGCAGCCAGCCAGAAATCTGGCCGCTCCCTCCACCCTGCTAGGACCTCAACGATCCCGGGAGGCTCCCAGTTGCCACCACTTCTGCTGTGTGACCCTGGGCTAGCTGCCGCACCTTTCTGAGTCTTGCTCATCTTATCGACACAAACATTGGTAAACACTGGGAACACGACTCCCTCCCCAGCAGGACTGTGGCACCTGTTAAATGGTGAGGGTCTCCCAGCCCACATGCAGCCCCCTCCCAGATGAACCTGGGCTGTACCAGCTTTTCCTCCACCAGCGCCTCCCAGTTGACCTGTGGGTCCACCTCCTTCACTGCCAGGTTGTAGATCTGCTTGTGTTTCACATGGAGGTTGGTCACACGTTCCCTCAGCTGACGGATGCTGAGTGGGGAGAGCGGCCACCCTGGTTAGCGAGGCTGGATGATGGGGGCACTGCCTACAACCCAAGGAGGGGCCTTACACCCCAGCCCCCAGCCTCAGCTTTCTGCTCGGTGGTCTGGAAGGACAGGTTCACAGTGGCCTTGGGTTCCAGGCAGTCACTCCCACCTTGCTCCTGTCCACTTTCCTTCATCCTGCCTTCCCTATCAATGCTTCCTGAGGGCCTACTCTGTGCCCAGAACCATAGAAGGTTCCAGAAGAAACAGGCATATCTGCTGCTCTCTGAGCCCACTGTCCAGAAGGACCATTGGGTGCTGTGGGCTGTGTCAGGGACAGCGGTTTCTGCACACCTGAGCTGAGGCGAGAGCCACAAGCTTGGGGAGTCAGGTGGGCAGCAGGCCAGGGGGCAGCATGTTCACAGGCCGGGAGGTTAGGCAGTGCGGCGGGCAGGGGCTGTGGTGGCCGCACTCTGACCAGAACAGTGGACACCAGGGCTCTGAGCCTCAGTTTCCTGGACTGCAGAATGGGTTGTGAGGATGATGGGAAGTGTTTAGTAGGTGCTGGAATTCAGTCAGCCCTCTCCCTGACTCGGTTTCTGACTGGTGAGTGGCTGCAGCCCTGCTGCCCTGGCCCCGCGCAGCTCCCTCTGGACCTACTCTTCGGCGATCATGTCCCCCTGGGGGTGCTTCATGTGCTTGGCGATGGCCGCGTCCGCCTCCAGCACATACAGCAGCTTCTCCGAGTCTGACACCTTCTGCAGGGCCACGTCCCGGTGCTCAGGCTGCTGGCCCTCCTGCAGCCGGGCCAGGTCCTGTGAGAGTCACAAAGGGGAGGGGGACAGTAAACAGGGACTCAGTGGGCACTGCTGGGATGGGAGGGGCAGGAGGATAGGGGTCAGAGAGGGGCTCCCTTGGCCAGGCCCAGCCTCTCCTTAAGGGCCTCCTTGTGGACAGAGAGACATGGCCCTGCCCCCTAGCCCAGTGGGGACCCCACAGAAAGGCAGGTTGACAGATAAACCTCACAAGGGTGACTGCAAGTTCGTACAAGCTGGTGTTTACAAGGAGACACAGCAGAGGGGGAATGAGGGGGACTGGCTTTAGCACCAGGGCTCATCACCCTCTGAGGCCAAGAATAAAAGAAGAAAGGGAAGAGTGTTCTAGGCAGAGGGAATAGCCTGTGCAAAGGCCCTATGGCAGGAAAGGACAGCTGAGACTTTGGCCAGTGATTGAGGCTAGAAGTGTTGGGGGAGGAAGTGGGAGAGAAAGCCGAGCAGGGCCAGAGCAAAGAATGGCTGGAGGGCAGAGACACGGCCCCACCTATCCTTAGAGGAGAATCCTCTAGGAGCTCTGCCGGCAAGAGGGTAGAGCTGGGAGGACAGTCAGTGGTTGTGACAGGGCCCTGGTGAAAGCTGAGGGTGGGCCAGGCTTGGGTGTCGCCAACGGAAATGGCGAGAATGAACAGAGTGGGGGTTGTCCGCAAGGTACCGTTGATAAGTCGCTGATGAGTCCAGGGTTTCTGCTTATTTAGGGAAAAGTGGTGAGTTGGCAGTGGAGACAGCCCATTAATTCACTTAGTCCACATTCAGGGAGCACGGCCGGACACCGTGCCGGGACTCCGGGCCCAGGGGGCACAAGTCAGAGACTGGACTGAGCACAGACCGAGGGTCACACGGGGGGCCTAGTGAGGCCAGTCCCCTGACCTCACTGGGTCTCAGCACCCCCATTTCTGCAATGGGAATAAGAGAAACCCCTGCTTTGAAGAGGCTTTCAGGTGACCTGAGGACTCTCCCTCGGCAGTGAGAAGAAGGCAGCAAAGACTTGGGCTCCGTCAGGGATAAGCCTCGAAACCACGCAAGTGAGAGGAGCCGGACGGGAAGGCCATGCCTTGTGGGATTCATTTATGGGAGCCAGTCCACAGACAGAAGGCGGATGGGTGGTTGCCAGGGGCTTGGCGGGGGTCGGGGGGGAATCTGCGGTAAATGGCCACAGGAGATCCTGCGAGGAAATGAAAACGTTCCGAAACCGACATGGACACGGATGTGCCACTCGTGAAGGTAGTAAAAATGCTGCGCTGCGCACTTAAGGGGGTGTTTCCTGATCCGTAGAACATGCCTCAATAAAGCTGTTAAAACAGAGAAAGGAAGAAAGGAGGAAGAAGTAGCGAAAGAAAAAAAGTGAACGGAGGTATGCGGTGCCTGGTACCGTCTCTCAGGGGAAGAGAAGGCATCCAGCCCAACCTTCCTGGGCTCCCTCTGGGAGGGCTGCGCGGGGAGGGGGCCCAGCGCCCCGAGGGGCTTGGAGGCGAGGCCCACATGTCTGCAGGCCACCTGTGCTGGACCATTACCCCACTCCAGGTGGGTCTGGCCAGGGAGAAAAAGTACAACAAAATGTCATGGTTCTCGGCTTGGGTGGAATTTTATCGGCTCCATCAGCACCGGCTGATCTGAAGCTCTGCTGGGCAGTAATGGAGTCAAAGATTAATTGTGCAAAAGGAGGGAGTAAATTAATCATCTCCTGACCCGTGCAGGTGCAGGTGCTGTGTGGGAGAGCGAGCGCTCTCCAGCCGAGACGAGAGAACAAGCAGCCGAGAGGGGCGTGTAGGTGTTCCTGAGTCCAGCCCAGACGGACCGACGGGGACAGTGGTCAGCACAGTGGTAGCTCTGGGGAATACAGATTGGAAATGTCCTCTGTCTTGACCCAAGTTGTGGTTCCATGGGTACCCACTGATGCAAAAACTCACAAGGGTGAACTCTTAAATCTGGATGCTTTCCATAGACCTTGTATAGAGAAGCTTTGTACTTTTTTCTTGCAGGAGGAGGTAATAAGGTTTGTTTGTTTGCTTATTTAATGGAGATACTGGGGATTGAACCCAGGACCTACCGAAGTTCATGTTATGTGAATCCCACTTCAGTTAAAAAAAATTGGAAAATTCAAGAGAACTTTTGGGTAATAAAATTAATAATGATGTTTTCTTCTGAAAAAAGGAAGGAAGGAAGGAAGAGAAAAGACAGAAAGATTAGCCCATGCAGGTTTCAAAGCATGGTTTCTTTTGTCAAGTTTTGTTGATGTGAATTAGGAAAAAAAAAAGTTCAAAATTATCTCCCAAAGACATCTTTGTTACTTTGAGTCACTACTCTAAGCAAATAAAACGAGAGGGCTGAACCCTATTCACAGGCGTGCATGTGCACACACACACACACACACACACACACACGAGAAAAGGTCAGAAATGCACCGAATGTTCAGTGATGATAGTTCTGATGGTGGAATTAATACTCGATCTTAATTTGCTTCTTTATACTTGTTTTTTGGTCCTGAAATGTTTGTAAGGAACACATATTACTTTCATTAGGACACACCCCACCACAGTGAAAAGCTGTTCTCATTTAGGAAAGCACACGCCACCACTGAAGCCATGAGAGGGGACACAGAAAATCACCAGAGGAGCTGGCGGAGGGGGAGGGAAAGATGACACTGAAGCTGGAAAGAAAGGTGGGAAGTGGGGGCAGGGGAGGGGCCCTTGCAGGGAGCAGGGTCCCCTCTTGCCTTTCCCCTCCCCACACCCCCACTTCTGACCTACCCCCCAGCTGTGCCATCTGCAACCCACCCCCATCCCTCCAGCCTCCAGGCTGTCTGTGGACTGGCCCTCAGGTGGGTGGACCTGGGTGGTCAGAGGAGGGGCAGCCATGGCTGGGACCCCGGGACATCACTGGGTTCAGCTGGATCTTGACCTCCCTTGTGACCTGTCCACCCTCAGCACCTGACTCCTCTGGACCTGCTTCTCTGTCACCCCAGGTAGGAATGCAGATGAAATACAGACCGCCCAGTCAAATTCAAATTTCAGGTAAACAACAGATAACACTGTAATATAAGTATAACCCAAATAGTACACGGGACATACTTAGACCAAAAAAAAAAGTATTTGTGTTCTGAAACTCAAATTTAACTGGATATTCTGTATTTTTATTTCCTAAATCTGGTACCCCCACCTCTGGGATGGCTTGGGGACCAGCTCTATTCCTGACATGGTCACCCTGGCCCTCTCTAAACCTCAGTTTCTCCAGCTACAAAAAAGGTAAAAACTCAACTGCACTGGCTAGCGGAGGGTTTAAAGAGGAGGTGGTCATCTTAGCACCTCGCAGGTGTGAGCTCAGCTCCATTGTCGTGCATGGAGCAGAGTCCCCAGGGAACCTACGGGCTCAGAGCGGTTGTCATCCCCATTTTACAGGAGGGGAAACTGAGGCACAGAGAGAGGAAAGTGTTGTGCCCAGCCCACATCCAAGCAGTGGCAGTGGTATGAGAAGTAAGGATGCTGGAATTTGACACAACATTATAAAATGATTATAAATCAATAAAAAATGTTAAAAAAAAAAGAAGTAAGGATGCTGATAATATTGAGACCTGTGCTGCATCTGCAAAATCTCATCCAATCTTTACGGCTGCCCAGGAGATAGGGACGATCACTCTTACCCTTTTAGAGGGAATCACCGGCACAGAAAGGTGTGGTGACTTGCTCAAGGTCACACAGTCAGTGGCAAAGCTGGGATCCTAACCAGGGCCTGGCTCCTGAGACTGGCTCTCCTCCAGACAGGCCCATAAACTGCAGGAGCTTAGTGCCCGGGGTGGAGGAGCTGGTGTTAACGGCAATCATGAGGCTCCTCTCTTCAGTGCGTCTCTACCTCTACCTCTGACATTTGGGGCCAGGTCATTCCGTGTGTGGGGCCATTCTGTGCACTGGAGGGTGTGTAGCAGCCTCCCTGGCCTCCACCGTGGGATGCTCCTCTACTGCACTGTGATGGCTAAAAACGTCTCCAGATGTGACCACAGGTCCCCTGGGGCAGAATCACACCCAGGAGAGATCCAGAGGGGGTCCTGAATGGGGCTGGCAGCACAGGAAGCACAGGGGTGGGAGGTGGGGGCACTCACGCTCTGCATCTTGGCCTCTGTGTCCACGATGTTCCTCTCCACCTGGTCGGCATTCTTCTGCAGCTGCTCGATCAGCTCTGACAACTCCTTGTTAGAGATGCTGCTGGCAGAAGAAGGGAGGTGAGCCGAGGGCCTGGAGGGCAGGGGGGGCCAGCTTCCCAGGCTGTCCGCAGCCCCAGGCTCGGAGCAGGAGCTGCCCGGGGAGCCTCGGATGGAGCTTGGCTTCCCTCCAGGTGATGTAACTAAAGTCCCAGAAATGATGCCACACATGGTAGGGAAATCAGCCCCTACTCTGGCCATCACCCTAATGCTTCTATTTTGCCATGTTGGCAGAGCTCACTTAATAAGATGTAACTCACATATCATAAAATTCACCCTTTTTTTCTTTTAGAATTTTTTTCTAATGGAGGCACTGGGGATTGAACCCAGGACCTTGTACATGCTAAGCACATGCTCTGTCACTAAGCTCTACACACTCCCCCAAACTCACTCTTTTAAAGTGTATAATTCAATGGTGTTTAGCATATTCACAAGGTTGTATAACCATCCTCACTATGTAACTCCAGAATATTTTCTTAACCTCAGGAAGAAACCTCGTATGTACCCTTTAGCACTCACTCCCCATTTCCCCTCCCAGCAGCCCCAATAACCACAAATCTGCTTTCTGTCTCTATGGATTTGCCTGTTCTGGATGTTTCATGGAAACGGAATCATATAATACGAGGCCTTTTGTGTCTAACTTCTCTCACTTAACATAATATTTTTGATGGTCATCCATATTATAGCGAGTCTCAGTGCTTCATTCCTTTTTACGGCTGTGTAATATTCCATGGTGTGGCTATTCCACATTTTCTTTATCCAGTTATCCACTGACAGACAGCTAGGTTGTTTCCACCTTTGGGCCATTATGAATCAGGCTGCTATGAGCATTCAGGTACAAGGTTTTATGCAAACGCCCTTGTTATAAAATATCTGATACTTTTCTTTCAGTCTACTACTCTTTATATTTAATTAATTTACTAAAAAGGGGAACTTGCTCTCCCCTTTGCAAACAGAAAACCAGAAGCCCTTGCCACCAGTGGAGGTAACTGTCAATATAAATTCCATGGAAATAAAATGGCAGCATTAAGTTCTAGCTGGACACTTGGCCATCTGCACATGTTGAGCCGGAGCCCTGTCCTCTCCTGCTTAAAAGCAGAGCTTGGCACGTACTGCAGCCAACTTAGAGCGGAGCTAACACCAAGCTAAGACCTCCTGGGTGCTAAGACCTCTCTGAGAGAGACCTGAAATCAGAACAGCTTTCTCACTCGGTCTTTCCATGTTCTCTCCGGTCATATCTGTCAGCATCGCTCCTCCCTACCCATAGAAATCACATCACAGACCACTCTGCCAAATGCTACTGTGGGAGTGAAGACCTTGGCTCTGGAACCAGATGTGGGTTCTGGCTGTGAGACTTGGCCAAGCTGCTGTCCCTCTCTGTGCCTCAGCTTCCCGCTGTCAGACGGAATAACTGCACCTTTCCCAGTAGGGGGTTGGGAATGGGGGTGAGGTTATGCAGGCACAGAGCCAGGCACCTGGTAAATCTCACAAAAGTTCATGATTAGAGTTGTTTAAGGAGACTTACTGATCATTGTCCAACTCTGACTTTGTTTTTTTTTTTCTTTAAACAAAGGAAGACACAAAGACCAGAGAGGGAAAGCAACTTGGCCAATGTCACACAGCCAGACAGCGATGGTCAAGATTAGCAGTCAGTAACCCCAGTCTCCATCAAAGATCCTTTTATACCTGATTCCACAGTGGGTCCTGAGCAGCTAAGCACCCAGAAGTATCATTCCACCCACACGCAAGCACTTACTGTGTGCCAGGCCCAGTACTGCACACAGACACGGCCTCGCCCTCTGAGAGTTCATCCCCAGACTGGGAGGAAAACAGCATTTACAGAAATAGTCATGAGACTGAGGCAGGCACGACCAGGAGAGCATCCTGACTGGCTGGGTGAGGATAAGGGTGGTCAACGAAGGCTTCCTGGAGGAGGTGGTGGTGCCTGGGTTCTGAAGGATGAAGAGGAGTCTGGGGTTTGTGGGCAGAAGGCTCCAATGAGGAGAGGCCACAGAAGAGGCAGGTCCTATGCGTGTCCCTTGGGTGGGCCAGGGCAGGGCTCTTGACCCATTAAGCAGAAGAGGCCACCAGCTCTTCAGAGTGGAACTCCTCAAATCAAGGCCTGGAACCTATCTATTGTGATGTGAAGCATTCAGGTTCCCAAACCCTAACCCAGACCCTCTGAATCTGGATCTCCAGAGCATGACCCAAGAAGCTGTATTATTCCTGCTATAAATTTTATAATTGAACCCTCCAGGGTTTCAGGGCCAACACTGCAGATATACTGGTGTTGGGGGAGTTGGAGCGGGGTGCAGAAACAGGCCAGCAAACAGAAGCTATAAGTCTGTCCAACCATGTCCCAAAACTTGGCTGAGCATCTGCCATGTGCCAGGCCTGGACACACAGGAACTGGGGGAGGGGACGTGGGAAGGAGGGGAGTCTTAGGGAACAAGACCCGGGCCACACTCTCTGCAAAGTCAACCAAAGAGGGAGTCTTTCTCAAAGTGGGGTCCCAGGAACCCCAGTCCTGTAAATTACTCCTGAAATGAAGGCTTTGTCAGTCAAGGGGGTTAGGAAAACCCAATCCCTCAATACATTCATGAGCCAGTAAAGGCTCTGAGAAGTCCTGCAGTGGAGAAAGCTGGTATTTAGTGGAGTGTCCAGGAAAGCTCAGAAAAGGAGACTGTTGATGGAGGATCTGGGTGAGAAGGGGGAAGGCTGCCAGGTCATGGGCCGACCCCCATCGCCCACATCCCCGGCTGGGCAGACCCCATGGGGACTGTGAGCACTTCTGCCCCTCAGCCCTACCCCAGCCACTCACCCTCAGCCTGGCCTCACCAGTCAGACGTGGTGAGTCTCTGCCCAAATATTTAACCCATGACGGTTTG